AGCACTGCAGCTACGCAAAGTCCTGGCCGCGCTTTGGGGAGAGTTCGACTGAGTGGACGGAGGTCTTCAAGTTCTACAACCACTGGAAGAATTTTAGCTCGGCCAAGAACTTTGCGTGGAAGGATGAATACAAGCTTAATGAGATTCCTGACCGCGCCTCTAGGCGAATGGCCGAGCGTATTAACCAAAAGGCTAGAACTGCTGCTAAGAAGGAGTATGCGCAAACTGTGCAAAGCCTTGCACAGTTTGTGTACCGTCGTGACCCTCGCGTAGCGACCGAGCTGGCTCGCCAGGAAGAGGAGGAGCGTGTAAAGGCAGAAGAGAAGGAGCGAAAAGATGTGGAAAGGGCAAAGAGGCGTCGTGAGGCGAATGAGAAACTCTGGGCGATGGCAGCTGAAAAAGAGGCTGAAGAGGAGCAAGCACGTCTTGAGAGAGGTGAAGACATTGATGGGTCGACGTTGGAAGTTATTTACGAGAAGCAACGCCAAGCTGATGAGGAACGTAAAAGAAAGGGTGCTAATAATGGCGGATTCGCCATGCTTGAAGATGACACTGAAGGTGATAAGGGTGGATTGAAGCTCAACTGTCCCGCGTGCAAGAAACAGTTTAAGACGGATACACAGTATAAGGAGCACGTGAATAGCGGTAAACACAAGACAAAGTTGCGTCAGTTGTCCGGAAAGGGTGTCGACGTTGAGGCGCTCATGAAAGGCGATGAGTAAGGTTTTCTAATTACCCGTTTAAGCTGCTAGAGCATTTGAGGTGCTGCTTTTTCACCGTCTTGGTGGAAAAGATGGTTAGCTTTTTTTTTTCTCAGTCTTGAAACTCACAATGACGCGCTTCAGAGATCTCTTCTATTTTTTTTCTTCTATTTGCAAATAATGGGCGGTTAGAGTTTACGCCAAACCTGGTATTTCATCATGCGCAGATGCTTGTGTCTGCCGCTGCGGAGAAGAATAGTGACGGCAACAGTAACCACATGGACACAGAACTTCAGCAATACACTCCATGGCTCTCAGCGTTTTTATACTGTAGGGACCACACATGATGGGCCTGTATCAACTGATGTTGAAACGCCAAACAAAGAGGACTCTTTGCCACAGAGTCATGAGTACCGAAAAATTGAAGAGCAAATCCGGGGGCTGCCCGAGGAAGATCAACGTTTAATACTCAGTGCCCTGCAGAACCCTGAGCAGCAGCCGAGCTCAAAGATGGGTGGCGCTGGTATCGGCACGAAATCAGGCGACATGGTGGCAGCATTTACATGTGGACGTTGTGAGCATCGTATGGTGAAGAAATTCAGCAAGCATGCTTACACAAAGGGTATCGTGATTGTCCAGTGTTCTTCCTGTGAGGTGAAGCATCTCCTCGCAGACAATCTTGGATGGTTTGTGAATGAAGCAAGGAACATTGAAGACATGCTACGGGAAAAGGGTGATTCCTTCGTGCGCATTGGGAACGATTATCAAGTTGAACCGCCTAATGATAATAAAGGTCCAAGTACTAAGGCGTGACCGTTGACAATACTCGTTATATTTGCTTCATATTACTCTCGCATGGAGGAATATAAACAAGCCATTTCCTTCTTGTTTCTTTTCTTGATTTACAAACATGGGCTGTGTGATGATCACTTTTGTTTCATTTTCTCTTTTTTTCTCGCCTTTGATAGGCGGCGTTTTAAAGCGTCATTGTATCTTTGTGGCGCGGCACTACGAAAGTACCGCCGGAAAGAATGAGCTACGAGATTCAGCCTATAGTGAAAGGCACGAAGCGTGACCCGGAAGCGAAACGGTACAACAAGGCGGCGGGTAAGGGTCCCTTTGGCCCATTTCCTCCCGGTTATGCGCTGAAGAAGGAGAAACCACAAACTGAGATCCTTGATGAGCCAGTTGAGGTGCAGGGTGTGAAGTTTGCATACAAGGGAACTAAACACGGATTCGGCGGCGCCACCACCTCCTTGTACAAGGGCCGGCCTCACAATACATCCTCGGATGCCTTCTCGACTAACGGTGCAGGGAAGAATAAACCACCAAAGGCTGGCGCATTCAAACGTCGCCTGATTCCCCCAACTGAGTTTCGCCGGTACTACGATCGTGGAGACCTACCGTTAGCCGTGTCGCACGGGAGCCGGCCCAGCGTTGACTGGAAGGTAGAGGTTGAGCGGCTCGACTACCATCACTACCTTCCCATCTTTTTTGATGGCATCCGCGAAACGGAAGAGCCGTACATGTTCCTTGCCCGCCAGGGCTGCCTGGATCTTCTTAAGCGAGGTGGCCCAAAAATTCTCCCGACGATCCCACAACTCATCATTCCAATCAAGACTGCGCTAAACACGCGTCACCCGGAGATCATTTGCGCGACCCTGCGCATCCTGCAGCAGTTGGTGGTCAGTGGTGACCTCGTTGGCGAGGCGCTGGTGCCGTACTACCGGCAGATCCTGCCAATGCTCAACCTCTTCAAGAGTCGCCATAAGAACCGTGCACGCGGAGATGCGGTGGATTTTGGCCAGAGGAAGCGCGATGACGTAGGCGACTTGGTGGAGGAAACGCTCCAGCTGCTGGAGATTCATGGCGGCGATGACGCGTACATTAACATCAAGTACATGGTGCCGACCTACGAAAGCTGTGTGTTTAGCTAGTCGTGCAAGGAAAGCAACAAGGCGAGAAGGCGTGGGGGTGTGACAGGTAGAGGCCAGGATCCCCACTGGTGGATGATGTGTTTGAATAGAATGACTCAAATATTTTATGTATTCTGATCAAGCGTTGCCTGGATCTGTGGTCGCTGGTCTCTCTTTTATTTCCTTGCATTTTTTTTTTGTTTGCGGTTGGGCTGGGGCAGACGAAAGTATGGGAGAGAATGAGGATGAGACAAGTTTGACAGGACATGCCCCCCACTGCCCCGCCTCTGAAGCAGAAGAAAACAAGAAGAAGACGAAAAAAAAAAAAGAAGTATGCGCTTGGGAGAAGACAGGAAAAAAAGGAAAAAAAAAGAAAGAAAGAAAGAAGTGTGTCTGCTGGGCCACAATGTATGCTACTCGTATGGATAGAGGCTTTGGAAACTGTGATGGGGTTGAGGGCTGTGTATTCTTTCGTGTTGCTGCTACTCCTTTTATCGTTGTTACTATCCTATCCTTCTTTTTTCCCCCTGTTCCTGTTGCTTTCTTCCGTGTTTCCGTCTTCGTCATTCCACTCACCGCAGAGATGGTGTATGAGGGATGGAGAGGGAGTATTACTACTACGACGACGATTACGGTGACGAGGAGGGCGAGGCGTGGGAGGCGGCGTTAGAGAACGCCTACGCCAGCGCGAAGTCCATGATGGACACGAAGCCCGAGGAGTGCGCCGCCGGGATGCGCGGTGTCGAGCGAGACGATCCCGTTGGAGGCAAGTGGACGTTCAAGGCCATAAAGATGCTTGCGCGTGTGGGCCGCCGCACCAAGGCCTACGAGGACATGCTGCGTTACTACACCAGGATGGCTAACTTTAGCCACCCGGATGTGAGCAAAGGGGCGGTGCAGAAGGCCATGACAAAGTTTATTGAGGAAGCCCAGCAGGTTCCCGTGGACTACTTGAGACGTGCGCTGCTCACCACCATTGAAGTCACAGCGCGGGACAGAAACGTATTTGGCAAGCTCTGGTTTAATGCGAAGCTCAAGCACGCTACGCTGTCGCTAGAGGCGAATGCTCCGGATGCTGTCCTGGAGGAAATGGAGCCTGTCCTGGCGTGGTGCAAAGAGGAAGATCAGTTCTCCCTCAAGAAGAGCGCACAGCTTTTCCTCTCTTATGCATTGCTGCTAGAGGCGTACACCAAGAAGCGGGATTACAGTCAAATGCGCGACACATTTTTGCTGGCAACTTCTATTGTTAACACTATTCCCCCGTCTCGTGTGGCTGGCGGTGTGCTGGAGTGCGGTGGAAAGATGTATATGCATCTTCGCGACTGGCCCGCCGCTTTTCGCGCCTTCTCGGTGGCGTTCCGGAACTACAACGAAATCGGTGATCCGCGACGGATTGGATGCCTTAAGTGCCTCGTGCTGACATGCATGCTGGGCGGCTCCAGTATCGACCCCTTCGCTACACATGAAACGAAGGTCTACGAGTCTGCAGCGGAAATGGAGCCTGTCGCAAAACTCATGAAGACATTTACTGGGAATGACGTGCGGGGCTTCCTGGACGTTGTGGCCATGCACCAGGAGATGCTCGATGCGGATCCAACGGTGCACGACTGCCTAGACCTTGTACTGGAGCAACTCCGCCTGCGGGCCCTCGTCGCGTACACGGTGCCCTATCAGCGAATCTATCTGAAACGACTGGAGGATGTGCTGCTCGTTAACGGCAATGAGGTGGAGCGGCTGTGCGTGAGGGCGGTGACGGAAGGCGCTCTGCATGCCTTCATCGACGACGGTGAGGGTATCCTTATTATGCAGAATGAGCAAGCAGTAGTACCAGAGGCGGAGAGGCTGCAGGCACTGAATCGTTGCTCCACGGCTCTCCTTGACTCAAACGAAGCAACCAGGAGAGAAGTGGAGCACCTTCCTTAGTGTTGGAGTGTTAGTTGTCTGATCGAGAAGGCCTGTGCGTGTGTGTGTCCATCTCCTTTTCCCTTGATGTGAAAAGAGTACAAAATAATGCTCTTGCCATTATCTGTTTCCATTTCCTCATTTTTTTTTGTCTTTCGTACCTTTTTTTCTTTCTTGCCTCGTAGTGTGTGTGTGTGTGGTTTCCGATTTCTTTCAAGGAATGTGCCGTCTGGCCGTCGTGACTATTCTGGCAGCGGTGCTGCTGGCGTTTGCTGCAGATGCGGAGTCAATCAAACAGGTGAGCATTCTCCATCGGCACGGCGCTAGAGATGAACCGCTCGTCATTGATGGACAGCTTGTCTGGGATTATGCACATATGACGCCAAACGGTGATACAATGATGCTGAACTTGGGCAAGGCGCTGCGAAGGGTGTATGGTGACTTCATCTCCGCCTTCGATCCTTCAGTTTATGATGCTCTCACGGGGGATTCCGACCGCTGCATTCAGTCTGCACAGGGTGTATTGCAGGCTTTGTTCAATCAAGGCTCTGATTTTATTCCCGTTGTAAAACACGTTCCAAAGGAAGTCGACTGGTTAATGGAGTTCAACTACAACTTCCCCAACGTAATTGCCCGCCCTCAGTGGAATTACGCCTTCCAGAATAACGATGCACTTGCGCGAGAAATGCTTTCTGAGGATGATGTACGCATCCTTGCCGGTGAGTTTGGGAGCTGGTGCAATGAGACACCTATGTTGTGCGCTCTTTTTGCTGTAGATGCCTTGCAATGCCGTATTAGTAACACAAACACCACGTCTGAGACACTGCGTAGACTCTTCGAGGAAAAATTGCTACCTATCCAGTACGGCAACCTCAAGCACATCTATGGGTTCAACCCTACTGATCCATATGCAGTGATTGGCTCTCCTGCCTATGCGTTGGCCGTGAAGATAATGAGTGATGCGCAGCGAGGTGACAAAAAGGTGTACCATTACTCCGCACATGATACCACCGTGTTGGGTGCGCTTGACACGTTTGGCAGCATCCAGATGGACGAGCTGGACCCCAAGTGGTTTCCACGGTTCGGTGCAGTGCTGGTGGTGACTACATACAACAACGGTAGTGTTTCTTTTGCCTATGCTGAGCCGGAGCAGGAGGCTAACTCCAGCCTGGATTACATCTCGGGTCTTCCACCCGTGACAGTGCGCTGCCAGGCTGCGGATGGGAAGGTGTACGTCGCATCTATATGTCCGTTGGACGATGTCTGGCGTTACGTCAACCGTTCCAAGCCAACTGTGGTGAACCGCTACTGTTATCTTCGACCAGAGGATCGGTGTGATGTGAAGGATGCTGCTCCATCTTCCCAGTGCCAATATTACCGCAAACACTGCCCCGAAGATGCGTGTGGCCCCGACGCGGTACTGGACCCTGCACGGGGCTACATGTGCGTCTCGGTGGCGACCCGGGAAAAAATGAGCCACTACGCCCTCTCAGCTGCTCTCGCAGGCGTAATTGGTGCTGCCACCGGCCTGTTGCTCGGCATCCTCATTGCCTTCCTCTTGGCCAGGACGGAGGCAAAGGAAGAGCTGCGACGACTTGTTTCATTGGAGGGCAGGGCGTAAGCCATTGCTCATCTAAGCAATAAGGAGGAGGACAGGATACCTAACACTTTCTTGTCCTCGTTTCGCTTCCGTGTTTATATCTTGTAGTAGCTCTTATATAGTACCAAAAACAAAAAAAAAAGAAAGTGGGGGGGGGGGAAGAAAATGAGTGATACAGCAGTGTTGGTAACTTTCGAAGCTGCGAAGTGGATTTAGCGCTATTACATGGTCGGGTGTATCGTCTTTTCCTTCACATCATTCTCTGTTTCTTTTTTTGTGCATGAAACGCGTAGTGACATTGCGGGTGCTCTGCGTAACGGCGGGCTAAGAAACCGTGCGTGTGTGTGCGTGCGTGTGTGAGGGAATTGTGGGTGCAGCGCAATGAAGTCGAGGCAGCCAGTGAAGAACCGCATCAACATGCACGACATCATCGCGCAACCGCTTGGCGCTCTCGCAGGCGCCGTCGACGCGATTCTGCGCCGCCCCGAGGAGCTGGACGACGTCGAGGTGCAGAGCATCTTCACGGAGGCCTCCTTCATCATCCTCCGTGCAGAGGAGGCGCTGGCGGCGCGAGATGCTGACGCGTTCTGCGCACTCTTCAAGCTTTTCTCGGAGGGTTTCGCACATAATGAGGCGTCATTCGAGAAGGGCATAGAAACCTTTGGGGCCAACGGCGCCCTCCTGCAGATGCTGCGCGGTATCTTCCACGGAGCGGTGAATCAGCGTGCCTTTCCAGTACAGAGCCCGGCCGTTGTTGCACTCGTGCAGGCCGTCGGTGGTCTTTGCGACGGCGCCAACATAAAGGACACGTGTGGGGCTCTGTTTATGGAAGACATTGCCGCCATGCTGGATGGCATCTACCGCCGTAACGGGGAGGAGGCGCGGTCGTGCTTTCTGGCGCAGCGTGCGGCAGCAACAGCTCTCATTAACTTGGTGAAGGGGTCTAGACAGAACAAGCAGCGAGTTTCCTCATGGAAGTTCTTGGCCGACTGCTGCGCGTTGAGTGTGGACGTTTTTTTCCAGCTGCAGTGTATCGAGTTGCTCTTTCGCGTGTCGCGCCACAACAAGTCGCTCCTCAGAAACCTCGACAGCCGCCTGCCTCCGCACATTGTGGATAGCATCCGCGCACTCCCAAATGATGCGACGCTGCTGATGAAAATGATAGACCTGCTCCATGACATCAATAAGGAGCGGGAGGACGTCTTGTCGTTCCCGTTGAGCCATGCAGATGTGGCTCACACAAGCATTATGGAACAGACGGTGTCGTACTTTACATCAAATTACTTTGTCGTGCTTGTGACATCCTCCAACGCTGACAATGTCACCATTCCGTACAGATCAATACGTTCCGTGACTCTTGGAAAAGACGGACGTGTCATATTTCGACTTAATGAGTTCCCGACGAAACTCGAGGCGCTTCTGAACCATGCGGCCGACGAGGATACTATCACGATCTTCATGAGCGTAGAGCAGCTGACACTCTTCAAGGAGTCCCGCATACGCTCGTGGATTGTTGCCGCGCTGGATGCCAAGAGTGGGCGTAAGAGAAACGGTGCGACGGGTGGAAACGGCGCTGCAGACAGCGTGACTCCACCGCCGTTGAATGGCGTGCCCAGTGATGACAAGCCCAAGCGACATCGTTCGGAGTCTATGCAGTTGACAGGTAGCGAGTCCAACGTGGTTACCGCTTTCGAGAAGATTATCAAGGCATCCGATAAAAACGTGGAGAACATGTTGGAGCAGATGAAAAAGCTTGTGAGTTCTAAAGCAGAGTCGAAGCATCAAGAGACAGCGGCTATTCTTCATGCGTCAATGAATGATATACAACGGCTGGTGGACGAGGGGCGCTCGACGACTGACAGCTACCGCGACGAGCTGAAAGAAGGAGTGGAGGGGAACATCCAGAGCATAGAGCAGCGACTCCAGGTCTCACAATCAAAGGTTGCAGAGTCTGTGGAGAAGCTGAACCAGGTGCTGCAGGATCTGAAAACAAGCAATACGGCTATTCACGAACACCTGGCGTGTATAGAGATTGATTTACAACAATCATTAGAGGTGAGTCGTGAAAAGGAGGCCAACTTATGCAAGTCACTTAAAACAGAATGCGAAGAAGACATTGGACGACTTGAGGCATTACTCGACCGCCACCTTATGGGCCGTTCAAATCCATTGAACGTGATTTCCGAGTTTCTTCAAACCAGTACCAGCAGAAACATCTTCTAGTTGTTGTGTGAGGAGCCCACCTCTATGGCTTCATTGTTTTCTTTTTTTCTTGTTTTTGTGCGTGTCTAATATATCTTTTCGGCACTACTGAAAGGTTTGCTTTCGTTTTGCTTGTTTTTCTTCCTTTGTTGCGCTCGCCAGTTTGGGTAACCTCTTCTTATCTATTGTTTCTTCCGCAATAGTGACTGAGTCGCCTCTCAAAGCACATCAATGGCATGGGTTGCGGATGCCACGGCAGTACAGTTCCCACTGTCTACGGTGGTGAAGCAGCAGGTAGCGCTCCCTGCGTCAAACATGTTCACGGGATTTCCCGAAAACCGTGTGCTGCGTGTGTTCCAGATTGGAGCGCTGCAGACCCAAGAGGAGGTGATGGACATTCTTCGAAGTGGGCTGTTTGATATATTTAATATGAATTGCCTGCTTTCGTATAGGTATGCGTACCAAGATGAACTTATGTTTGCCCTGGACGCCGTCCTTTACTGGGCGTCCACGTGGAGGCGTGCGCAGTCAATAGGCGATCGCATGCAGAACTTGGTCCTGCGTGATGAAGCCAAGGCGCGGGAAGCCGGCAAGACCTCCGTGGTGCAGCTGGTTCCTGCGCTCATGCCGACTCGTGGGAAGCTCCTCGTCCATGCCATATTGAGTGTTTTGGTGCCATACCTGGTTCGAAAACTCCAGAGGAAGTCATTGGAGGAGGACTGGGAGCGGGAAGAGGCGGGCTCAATCAAGATAAAGCTTGCCAAGGCTCTGCGTCTTGTGTCCGTGGCGTGGGCGGCGCTTTCACTGCTCAACACGCTACATTTCCTCGCCACTGCGCAGTACCGTACCCTTGTAGAACGCATGCTTTCCCTACGCTTGGTGTACGGCAGCCAGGTGACGCAACGGTTCACTAACCTGATGTACTTGAATCAACATGTCTCATGGCAGACCTGGTCTTCCTTCTTCTCTGTGCTGAACATCGGCCGCTATCTTGGTAAGCTCTCGCGCTCCATGCAGGCCTTCACAACGGCATCTGGGGGCTCGGCGCTGAAGGACAATGTTTGCTGTGCCTGCAACGACCGGCCGAACATCGCACAGCGCTCGAACTGTGGACACCTGTACTGCTACTACTGTATCAAGAGTCGGCTGCTGGACCCTCGAATGGCGGGGTCGTTTCTTTGTCCGCGTTGTGGGACAACCGTTCACACAGCCTTGCCTTTGCAGTGGCAGCAGGGCAACGATGAGGAGTGATAAGGCGGAAGGAAAAGGGCGGAAGGACATCTCTCTCTCTCTCTATCTAAAGTGGACTTTTGTGAGCACTGCACGTTATGATGCGACGGCGAGACGCAATGCGCCCCTTCAAACCAAAGGCCCCCCCACCCCACAAAAAAAAAAAGAGAAAAAAAAATAACCTCTTTTCGTCACACATCAGAGTGTGAGGCTCTTCACACCGTTTTTCATTGGCCCTTTTTGCTCCGTGCATTTTTTTTTCTCTTCGCCTTATTCTTGTTTCTCCTCGATGGCGACCGGAGTGTCTTCTTCGCGTACATGGACCCCGCGGCTGGCGTCTTTTCCCCGTTTCACAACGAGGCGGAGGGGAAGAATGGCCTGCTGGAGTCTGCAGTGGAGGAGCTGGGGGCGACGGGGCACAGCGCCGACGCCTCAGCAGGCCAGCGTGAGGGTGGGAGAAAAAACAGTAAACCGAAGGACGATGACGCAAGTCGCCGTGGTGCTCCCTGTGGTTGGTGCGGGCAGAATTACACAACGGTGACGGTGCCGGCGGGTGGGCTGTATTTGTGTGCTGTGTGCGCGGCGCAGCGTGAAGCTAAGCCACAGATGAATCCGTTCCCGCCCAACACATTGAAGTGCTGCCCTGCAAGCGTGACGGAGGGGGATAGTGGTGTCGTGCGTTGTTACGCGTGCCACGGCTGGTATCACTTCGCATGCCTTGAGATTCATGACAAGGCCCTGAAGGAGCACCTTTCGCTGTCAACGACAAAGTGGTACTGCCTGGAACCCTCCTGCTGCGAAAAGGTTCTCCAGGAGAAGCTCAGGCGTAGACGGTAGAGAGCCTCTGTCCCGAGGTGTGTGTTTGTTTGTGTGTGTGCGAGAGTTTCTTTCTCACCGCTGCTGTTGTTGTTTTGGGGATGGCGTCCTTCTCTGGACCGAGCCACACGGACTCATCTGTTTCATTTTTTTTTTTTCAAAATTATTTTGTTTGGGGTACTTGTGCTTGTGTTTCTTTTCTTACTGTCCAAGTGCAAGGCAATTTCAACCGCAGCCGAACATGATGACGCACATGGTGGCACTTTTGTCTTGCCTCGTTTGGTTGCTGACGGGTTCCAACGCGTTCTCACTACTTGAATCAGCCGAAGAACCCCTGATTTTCACACGTCGAGCGCCAACAGAAGCGCACGCCGTGGTCGTTCACAGTGAGGTCCGTTCACTGCTTGATTGGCATGTGGTGTGCAGAGACGATGTTCTGCGATTCCGCGTCGCTCTCCTGCTGCAGCCTGTGAACTCGACTCTCCCAGAAGATGGAGAACCTTCTCTCGTTGGTGTTGGCGATATTGCTACACAATGCGCACGTGCACCACTGTTAGCAGAAGATGGGGGGGAATTTCCAGCGGTGGCCTTATCCGCTTCCCGCGCTGCCGTCCATGCTCTGTACGTGTGCCGCAATGGTGCCTCTGGTATACTTCACATGCTGGTTGCACAGTGGCTCGGAGGGGACCTGAGTGCCGTCGTGGATGAGCCAGTCATGTCGTTTGGTGTGGCGAAAAGCTGGCTTCTGCCCCACGACGTGGGTGGGGCGGCCATGCAGCTGCTCTACGTGCTGTCTCTTGACGGGGCGACGAGTGCGATCCTCCTCGAACGCGTGGGTCCACTCGGCGCACACCCCCTCAGTATCACGCAGCTGAGACTTCCGCAGCGCGTTGCGGTGGGGGAGACGGAGTTGGTGGCATCGTGCTTTCTGCCGAGCGTCGGCGTGAGTGGCCTGGTGCGGCGCTCACCGGCGGAAGGTGTGTCGTATTTCGAGCTATATCGTCTGTTCCCCACCGGTGGGTCGGCGGAGTTACTGCTCGACACGTCCACAGCCATTTTCACCGACCTCAGCACGGAGGAGCGGCGGTACTGTAGCCTGTCATCGCGCGTCGACTTTACCCACTGCCGTCTCACACTCTCAAGCACGGATTCTCTTAATGTCGGCATCGCCGTGACGGCGACGCTGGAGTCTCCCACCGCTGGCGCTGCTTCCCGGGAGTTTGGCGGCTGGGTTCGGTGCGGCGAGACACGACTCGAAGGTAGTGCCATCATCATGGAGGGAGGGACGCGCGTCCACGTGTCGCCGCTCCGCCGGGCGCATTTTAAGCGCGTCCTGTCGCGCGAGACTGTCAGTGATGATAGAGAAGTTTCACAAGGGCGTCTGGGTCGCTGCAGTTTTCATCACAGTCTCAGTACGCTCAACTGCAGTAATTCGGAGACACGCACCTATGCGGCTGTGCGTGGTGTTTCTCACCACTGCACTGCGGTCCGAGTGTGGTGGAGACCATCCGTCGGCCTCGACCGTTGCCTCTGCGACTGGTTAGGCGTTGGCCTCGTGGAGGTGCTCACCTTCGCCCTGGTGCTTTTCGTAACGATGTGTGGTGTTCAGCTTGTGGCAGAACTGCTGCTGCGGTTGTGGGGTTCTTTTTTTGGGTGATCATATCCTTTGGGTAGTGATTATTAAATATATTCTATTTGGTTTGGGTGTGGTTACCTGTTGTTGTTTCTGTATATGTGTGTTTGTGGATGTGCGCCGCCCTGCCTGCAGCCGTATCTTTCAGGCATGCGGAGGATGCATTGCGTTGCCTTCCTTTTTTATTTGTTGTTTTGTGACCACCGCGTCTGGCGGAGAAGCGATGGAGAACAAGGCGCCAGGGACAACGGCCCGCGCGGGCGGGTATGACACGGCAGGCGGGGGTGCGGCACACGAGAACTTCTTCCACCCCAGAAAGAAGATAAAGAACAGCATCCAGCGCGCTGGCCTGCGCTCCTCGCGCCGCACAGTGGCGATTTTTATGATTTGCGTCGCTGTCTTTGTTGTGGGGCCGACACATTTGGGTCCGCTGTACGTGAAGTACGTGGCAGGTCAGAATTGGCTCGAGCGTGCGAAAAAATCGATCTGGACCCGGCGCAACGAAAAGGACCATGACTTGTACTTGACGCAGCGCAAGAACGGCTGGCTTGAATACCTCGGGCTGAAACGCTACAACATTGGTGGAGAGACCAACATTGGCGATATACAAACTTACCGGCAAAAAAAGGAATAGGAAGGCGTTGCGTGTTGTTTCTGCGGCGGTCTCAGACCTGTCTTTTCCGCATTTCCGTTGATGTTGCATGAACTGTCAGGAACGGAGGTGATACATCTTTTTCCTTCTCACCCGTTTATCCATTTCTCTCTCGCTCTCTCTGTCTCTCTTTCTCCCCTTTGTTTATCGTCATAAATGCTGCCGCTGTGGCAAAGGGTAGTGGTGGCTGGGCGGGGGAGCGGGCGGAATGGAGTCAAAGGCGCGGCAGCAGCTCGAGAAGGATGTGCGGGAGACTGTGGCTGACGCGAACTCGCCGATGGCGCAGCGCTACATCCGCGAGTCGTTGAAGAAGAACAAATTCACCAGCGCTCTCATGCTGCTGGCACTCCTCACCCCGGCGGCGGTTCTCATCTCCTTTTACTCCTCAAAGTTCCGGTTGATCCGCGAGAAGTGGCGTGATCCGTACGCGTTGCCGCCGGGCTTCGACCCGAACACGGGAGGGTACACCGCGGGCAGCGCGCCGAAGCCTCTCGCAGATCCACCGTCTGCGCTTGTTTTAAAGAGCGCACCGGTAAGCTACAGGGAGAAGCCGTGACATGGTTAATGGCACGCCGGATGCACTAGGATGTGTTGGCGTGGGGGGNGGGGGGGGGGGGCGCTGCGTCTATTTCTATTTCCATGTGGTTGCGGCTGCGGCTCCTCTGGATGACTGGTGTGCTGAGCGGCACGATTCTTCTTTGTGGCCTGCTGTTGTGGAAAGTAGGGGCAGAGAGGAGCCTTGCCTGATGTTGTTCGTGCCCCCCCTCCTATTCTCTTCCCTCAACGCGGTGCTGCACTTTCCGCACCAGACTTTCATTCTTCACCACTTTTACACGCTTAAGTGCATGCAGTGTTGCCCTTCATGAAAGCATTAGGCGATGTCTACCGTCAAACATTCCCGAAGAAGCTGCGCTTCGACAAGGCATGCCAAATTCTCCACGCCGAGGTCTTCGTGGTGGCGAGGCGCCACAAGCACAGAAAGTATGTTCCAAAGGGAGACATCTACGATGTGCTTGATCGATACGAGCCGTTGCCGGGTTCTCCGTGGATTCACTTGCCAGTGGTGCGTCATGTGCTTTTGATTCGGCAGATTAACGGGGTGCGCTGCCTTCTGGGAAAGCGCTCGTGGCTAATCAACCGTGCTGTAGAAGAGGAGCACCACAGGATTAAGCAGTGGATGGCGACGCAGGAGCAGCTGGGCGCAAAGGCACCAAAAGGCAGTCGTCTTGGCTCCTTCGTGGAGCGTGAGCGCTTTGTTGCAGAGGTGCTTGAACCATTTCACGTGGCCACCATGTACCAGCGAATGGTGCGCCTCGGTGCCGTTCTTGTGATCGTGCTGCTGCTCCTCACCTTCGCGTCGGTGAATCTCGATGGTCTTGTGTACCTGTACGCGGTCCACTGGTGCCGCATGCGCCGAGAAGATGTCCTCGCGTGGTTTCGCGAGATCACGGAGCGGCACGCGGTGACAGAGGTGCCGCCAGCATATGAGAGCTTGCTGCCGCCGCCCTGCGTCCTTCGCTCCACGGCCAACGGCAGGGAACGGTATGATTTGAAAATCACGGAGCTTGTCTCACCCAACGAGAAGATAGTTGTGATGGCGATTCCTTGCCCGCAGGTGGGCGAAAAGAAATTCTTCGCCGCGCTGGGCGAGGTTGCGGCGTTGTGCGATGCCGTCATGATGGAGGGCGTGCCGTTCGAGCGCATTGACAAGATTGTGCCAGCCGCGCTATTCCCGCTGCGGGACGACACGTTTCCTGCCCTGGGTCTGCACCACCGCTTCCTAGACGTCGTGCGCGGTAGGCGAGAACCGCCGTTTCTGTATCCTGCTGCCTCGGAGTTGAGTTGGCGGGCCTACTGGATGCAGTTACTCGCCCCTTTTGAGATGCGCTGTGTCTACTGGCCGACAGCGTTCTCCGCATCGAAAGGGGAGGCAAGAATTTGCTGGGGACGGCTCCGTGAGCTTATCGAACAGGCCGCCGCACAACAGAAGGGCGGAGGCAGTGATGATTCTGAATCATACGTTATTTGTCTGCCGTGGACGGTGCATCAGATCGTTAACCTGGAGGCTAGCCTACTCAGATACGGCTTTAGGGTGAGGCGAGTGTTCCCGCTAGAGTGGTTGGATCGTGATCACATGGGCGAACACTTCTGCAACTACTATGGTATCCCATAATGGAAATGGTGATAACAGCAAAGGTAGATTATAGGGGTGGTGGGTGGTGATTGTTGTTGGTGTTGGTGTTGGTGGTGGTGGTGGTGGTGGCCGTGCCGTTGTGGAAATATGATGATGCAGGTGATGGCGATGGTGTTGTAGTGTCTTTCGCGTCCATTTCCTCATAGGCAATTGATGCCGGTGCTTTAATGGCGTCTGCAAAGGGCGGTGCAAAGCGTTTTTGTTTATTGGTGCGATCATTTTCCCATTGGCTTCGTTTATTTGTGTTTTTTGTTCTATTGGACGTACTGTGTTTGGCTGTTTTTCTTTGTATTTTTTTTCGTTGTGTGTGTGTTTGGGTGGATGTGTAGGTGTGCTCGCTGCTGATGGAAAGAAGTCGGTAGCGTGAAGTTGAGTGAACGGAAATATGCCATGCTGCTGGACTGTTCGACGCGTAGGTAACATCCGTGTGTTGGGCCGCGGGACACTCTGCCTCGGGCCTGATTATGCCTTTATGGTGGCAACTGCTAGTTTTATTCTTATTGGAGCTGTCTTGTTTCTGGTATTCACGGACGGTCTCGTCGCACGTATTCTGTGCGCCTTCGTTGCAGCTGTGACGCTGTCGCTGATGTGGCGCTGCTCCACGATGGACCCTGGCATTTGCCCAAAGGCCGACGCGCCACCCGAGGGCGCGCCACTGCATGAACCCCTACTGGAGCTCGTCACGTACATTGACGGGAGTGGCCAGGAGCGTAAGACGCGAGTTGAGCGGAAGTGGTGCTACGGCTGCAATAACTACAGGCCGCTGCGTGCTGTCCATTGCCGATTCTGTGACGCCTGTATTACACGACGTGACCACCACTGCCCGTGGGTGGGAACATGTGTCGGGGAGCGCAATTACCGCTTCTATTGGGGCTTTCTCTGGGCGGTGCTTTGTCTCACACTCACTGTGATGATTGGTGGTGTTGCGAGTCTGGTGAAGAGGTCGAAGGCGCTCTCCGAGGAGGCAAGGGACTCGGGCAGAAGCAGTTTTTTGGCGGCGCTCGCGGAGACGCATTTCGTGGAGCCACTGCTGGTGCTCGTGGCGTTCCTGGCGTGCTGCCTCGTGGCGCCTCTCACGGCATACCACACATTGCTTGTTGCGCGCAATATGACAACAGTGGAGGAAATGCGTGGGAACGGCGGCTGGATGCATTACTTCAATAGAGGTGGGTGCTGGGAAAATACCAGGGAATCGTTGTTCTCACCGGTCCCACCGTCTATGTTTGCGACTGAGGTCGGCCTCTGCGAGCCGCCTGCTGAAGTTGTGGTAGAGGCGGAAGAGTTGTCTTGATGCTGTGCCTTTTTTTCCCATTTGTGTGTGTTCTTGATGCGACTTTCTTTATTGCTCGTACAACGTGTTTTGTTGCTGCCCCCGTAGCACCAGTGGATGTGACTGAATCTGGTGGTGGTGCTGCTGATGCGTTGCTGTGGTCCTTCCCTCATCTTCCCCCGCCCTTTACAAAAAAAAAAAAATAATTTCAACGACACTCTTGCGACTTACTTCGTAGGTATATATATATATATATATATATTCCAAGTCAACAAGGACGCGCTCCAGTTCTTTCCATCTATCTTACCTCGTCGTGTGCGTAGATGCAGCCAGCGACCGCGCCGTACATCCTGCGGTCGCTCTACAAGGACGAGCACGTTGTTGACACCCATGTAAACCGCCCGCTCACCGACCTGGTGACGTCCGCGTTCGGTGCACACTTCACCAACATGTACGACTCGCACCTGAGTGGCCTGGCGAAGGGTGTGTATGTCTTCTTCGCCCTCCTGCGCGGACAGACGCTCGGGGAAGAGTTCTGCGACTTGTTGCCTGTCACGCGTGGTAACCCTGCGCGCCTGCTGGGATTGAAGCGGAAGGCGCTGCTCGCGCTGCTGCTCGCGCTGGAGCCAGTGGCGCTCTTCCGCTTCGCCATCAAGGTGTTCCCGTCGCTCCCGCCGCACGACGTCATTGCGAACGTGCACAAGTGCACCCTGCTGCTGCTGCTCCTGTTTGAGACGTACGGCACCCTTTCCCACCGCCTGCTCGGCGTGCGCTACCTGAGCCTCGTGCCGTCGCGCATGCTCGAACGAGACGACGGCGCGCGCGGCACATATCTGCTGTCCGGCATTGCGTTGCTGCTCGAGTTGTCTATCCGGCTCTGGCGCTTCATGGAGGAGCGGCGGCTCGCCAACCAGAGCGGTGCCAAGCGTGACGAGACACAGCAGCGGAAAGACGGGGTCGACGACGAGAGCGACAGCGACGTGGACGACAGTCAGCGTGCGGCGGCCGGCAAGTGCATGCTGTGCTTGGGCAACCGCAAGCAGCCGACGGCGACGCTGTGTGGACACATTTTCTGTTGGCGGTGCTTGTCAGAGTGGATCAAGTCCAACTCGCAGGGCGCTATATGTCCCTTTTGTCGGCGGCGAATTACGGTCCAGTCGTCGGTGCCGCTGTACTTCTACGTGGCGAAGGAGCCACCCGTCGTGGGCGGCGTCCACGACACCTCCGCCTAGAGACCATTCGCGTCTCAGAAAATCATTCCCCCTTCGAGAACAAAACAAGAACAAAAAAAGGATGCTGGTAAGCGCAATCCCACGTCACATGCCACAGTGTCTCCTGCACCCTCCCCCCCTTCCTCCTTCATTGCTTCGACTCTAACGTGTAGACACGGGTGAGGGTGTAATACTCTTTCTTCATTTTCTTTTTGCCGTTTGTTCTCTCTTACTCTTTTGGACATAAAGGACTTCTCCCTCCCCTGAGAATGGCGGTAGCCCGTGCGGAAGGCATCATCAATGCTGACCTGCTGGCCGCAGAGGTGAACCTGGAGAGCCTTGGCTTGGACTCGCTAGAGCCCGTCCTCCCGCTGCTGGCAAACATGCCGCGGCTGAAGGCTCTGAAGCTGGCGCACAACAAACTGACAGGCCTCCCCTGCGATCTTTCCAGCATCCGGCAGCTGGAGTACCTGGATATATCCGCCAACCCCATCACGGGGCTGAGCACTATTGTGCGTGGGCTGTACAGCCTCGTCATACTAAGGCACCTTTACGTTGATCTGCCTTTTGAGAACGAGGAGGACGAGGTTATCGTTTCCCTTCACTCCTTGCAAAGCTTTAACGGGACGTCGTTGACGGGCGTGATTGAAGATGAGGAGATTCATAAGGGCAACAATCGGAGTGATCCGACCCCGTCGCTTCAGTCCTTTCTCAAGGACGCAAAGGATACCTCAATGGGCTGCGAGATCCTTACTTCGCCACCGCCACAGCAGAGGCATCATCAGCAGAAACCCCCGAACCCCCAGGAATGGAGCAACGAAGACACAGTGTACACACAGGAACTACATGCGCTGGTTGTCGATGCCACTGGAAATATTTCCAACCGAAAGGAGTTCAACGGTTATCTTGTCAATGTCGTCCAGCATCTTGGCGCCCTGACGGCCACCGAGACGGATGCGGCAAGTCGTGAGGGTGAGACGCTCAAGGCTAAGAAACTTCTCTACGAGTACTGCCTCGAGGAGTTGTGTCGCGCTGCCGGAAGAAAAGATATCGCTCTTGGTCGGGCATTTACGGCCCTTATAAAGGCGCAAACCGCTCTATTGGAGCGCTACGACCGACTATGGCGTGGTATCGCCGAGGAAAAGAGCGAGCGAATTGCTGTAATGAAGAAAGACATGCAGGACGCTATCCACGAGATCGAGTCGCTCATGAGCCAAGTTGGCCAACCGAGCAGTCGGAGCGGTTGCGCCGGCCTCGACGAAGAGGCGGAGTTGCAGCGGCTGCAGGAGGAAGTCGGGCGGCTGCGGACGGAAAACGAACGACTGCAGACAAAACTGCGTCTGACGGATGTAACAGGCTGCAGCCCAAACCTGGCGTCCGCTTCAGCCGCGCGAGACACATCAGTTTTTGCAGACCGCACGCGGGTTTCGCCCTCACGCTCGCAGACCCCGCAGTTTGGCAACAAGGTGCTAACGCTTCGGCAGCTCAAGAGCACCATCGAAGACATATACGTGTCCAAGAGTAAGTATGATATTAAGTGCTCGGAGAGCCACCTCCCGCGCGAGACGATGGAGCAGCACATGTACACCTATCTGAACCAGCGCTACGGCCTGAAGCACATCATTCTTGACTGGGCCACCGCCATTGTCCACGGCATAAAAAAGTATGCCCCCGAAGACAATGATGTGGCGGTATTTGGAAGGATTCTGCGAAACGAGATCGACGAGGAGTTTCGCTTTGTGCAGCGGCAGGTGCGTGAGACGGTGCACGAGCTGCTTCGTGTCTACGTGAAGGGCAAACGGCCATCAAACAGCGACGCGGAGATCAACAAGATTGTGCAGAAGAAAGTAAGTGGCACTTTGCTGGAGGACGAGTGGGTTGACATCGTGAAGTACATGTATAACACGGAGGATGCGGTCGCCATCATCATGCGGCTGCGCGACCATCTCCGTCAGTTGTCACAGCCGCGCCGGCGCCGCTCGATTCAGGGGGGGCAAGAGCCCACCGCGACCGACGCCGTGCAGCTGCCGTACACTGACCTCATTCGTATTCTGCTTGATTTCCAGCTAGAGGGGCATGAACGCTTTCTCGCCCATTTCCTCACCATCTTCCGCCGCCACGATGCGGACCGCAACGGCATCGTCAACGCGCAGGAGTTCGCCGCCATCGTGAAGAGCGTCGACCCCGCCAAGACGGACGGGGAGATTAACGCCGTGTTGGAGCTGATCGATCCGTTTGGGAACCAACTCGTCACGTACTCGGAGTGTGTGACGTTCCTCAGCACTGAAATCGTGAAGATGCGGAATGTGGAGAGACGCAGCTGAGTGTGCTGCGGTCGCTCATTCTTTTTAACCCCCCTTTGCCTTGCGCTCCTATCGACAGAACAAGAGTAAGGCAGGAAATAACCAATAACAAACAAACAAAGCGAATGTAATTATGGCGTGTAGGTTGCTCCCGGAACGTGGCGGCGTTCTTACAGGAGAGAGTGAGAGAGAAAGAGAGGGAGAGGGGGCGAAGTATTTTTGTTTTTATTTTTTTTTGTTTCTCTAGTATGTGCGAATGTTTTTTTCTTTGTTTCTCCTCTTCCATTCGCTATATCGATATATATATATATATGGGCTACTTCGTTGTTTGTACCGCCGCCATGTCTCTTCATGTTCATGCGCTTTATTTGACCACTTGTCTGCGAAGTCTTATTCCTGGTGTTGGTGGTGATGCTGTTTGATGTTTCTGCTCCACTTGCTGTGTGATTGTTGTGCCCGTTGCTGCGTCTAGCTGCCCACTCGACCACTATTTTCTCCAGCGTAGCGTTATGCATGGTGTGTCTACACTGCCGGTAAATGTTAGCGTCGCGACCCACGTGGCGACTCCTTTTCTAGTTGGCCAGCTTGACATCACGAGCGGGGAGCTGGCGTCCCTCTTCACTTTGGCACGGAGCAGCAATGTTCACACGCAGCCGCCCCCATTGACAGCGAAGGATATCAAAAAGGCCATGGAAAAGTCTCATGCATTCAATCCTGCTCATTTGAATGTATTCCTCGACGGCTATATGTCTGGCCAGGCTCCAGTGCCAGAAAAGGCTCTATCGAATATCCGGCGCTTGTCGGTGTGCTCTAGCAGTGAGTGGATTCACCAGTGCCAGTCGCTGGCACTGCGGCTGCTGCTCACCGAGCTGGAGGCACGCGAGGCCGGTGCCTCGGTGAGATCAAGACCTGACGACCCGTCGCAGCTGGTGGCATTGCGCCAAGTGGTTTCGAAGTTTCAAGGGAAGGCGCCCTGCATCTCCGTTAGTAACTGTCATTTCAGCTTTGTGGGCAACATCGCCGAGGACGACGAGGCACATAACGAGCGCAACTTTTATGCAGATGTTTCTGTGCGGAATAATGGTGTATCGCCGTCTGTAGTAAAGATCAGCAATGTGCACACTGTGATTGACGGCGAAGTGGTTGACGGCGACTATCTCGCGTGCGGTATCGTGGGGGAGCGTACAATTCGTCGCGGCGAAGCTACCACGTTTCATTTTTCCCTTCGTTCACCTCCCAGACGGCAAAGGAATACGTTTGAGCAGCTGATTGTGCTGAGTGTTGATGTGTATGCAAAGATATTTGTGACATTCACGGTTGTGTCACCAAGACAACAACCTTTTGGTGTGGGCTTTCCCAGGTGCCTCTCTCTCACTGTGCGGGATTCGCCCGTCGGCGCCTATGCAAGCCCCATGATGCTGCAGCTGCTTAAGCATCAGTTCATCCGCCAGCAAGGACTGGCAAGCAAAGGTGTGGGTCAATTGCTGGTAGGAAAGTCCGTGAATCACTCTATCCGTAATCGTGAAGTCATGCGGGAGGCCACACGAGTGAAGGAGATTCTGGAGGAGGAAATGGACTTTTCCGAGGTGCTTGGAACGTACCGAGCGGCTCTGCCCAAAGACACCTGTGGGAGCGTTGAGCTGCCAACCTCCTCTGCGCAACCTGCAGGCTACCTTCCTGGCGGTCTTCTGCCGACGGCGGTCGCTGCTGTCAGCAGCATGTCGTGTTTCCCAAATGCAGCGACGAGACTCCCAGGCGTTCTCACAAACGCCCAGCCTGATGTGCTGATGGGACTTATACTTATATGGCTGGCAGAGTTTGAGGTGCCCGTTTTCGATGCATCACTTCTCATATACGATCCGATGACGTACTTGGAGGCAATGCCTCCTTACCATCGTGGTGTTATTCTATGGACCGTTGACTTATGCGGTGGCCTTCTTCTTCACAAAGAGGACAATGGAGTGTCACTGCGGCACCTCGCACTTACGTTTGCTGCGGTGTTGATGCGCAAGAGGCCCCCTGTCTCTGGGGGCAATGTAGACAGCGTCTTCAAGGACACACCATCCAAAATTACAACAAAGGAAGCACCGCAAGACGGTGGCACATCAGTAGGCGCCGATGTTGCATTGCAGCAGAGCGCCGTGACCGCCTTCGTGTATTGGATCACGGTTTTCGGTGCTTGCTACAACAAGTGCCGTCCTGCGTGAAGAGGAAGGTGATTTATTTATTTTGGCGTGCACGTTGCCGTCCCTGTCGTTTGATGGTGTGTGAAATTCCGTTCTGTACCACTGAACTCCAACGTCATATGGATGATCTCTTCTTGTTTCTCTTTTTTGTTGGTTTGAGTATTAGTAGTCACTCCTGAAATTTATTTTTGTCTGGGTGTGTGCGTGTTTGTCGGATGGAGGAAAATAATAGAGAACGGACAGTGCATCCTTTTGCTCAATGGGTTGCGGGGCTGGTCTCCCCAATGTCCCTGAAGGACCAGAGAATGGCGATGAGGAACATCACTAGGATCATATATGGCAGCCTCTTTCTTTCAATGCTTTGTGCGTACATTGTGGGTAGGGTTCACATGACTTTTTACGGATTGGCCGCGGGGTGTGCTACGTCCCTTGTTTTGTACGCACCCAACTGGTACCAGCGCGAGGATGACGACCAGAAATGGTGCGACGAGGCAGAGGTGAGAGAGTACTACCAGGCTCGCCAGCAGCTCTTGGATGATTTTGCGCAGGAGGATAGCGCAATGGAGGGGCAGGAGGAAGTGATCCCTACAGCGGAGACGGAAAAAAACGGTGTGTAGGCGGCGGGGCCTGCGGGACCCACTTTCATCGAGTGAAGTAAACTGTGCGACAAGTCAAGTTTCCATTGCCCCCGCTGTGGTGCCTACTGATGATACTCTTGGGACCTCATTATACACACACACACACATATATATATATATATATCTTTCTTTCACCCGCCACCTCTTTTTTTCTTTTGCGGCTGCGCAGTTAATAGCGGAACAAGCAGCCTGGCTAGCTATACTCTGCCTGATGCGACGATGGGCAAGCGACTCGGAAGGTGAGTCGGATGCGGTGAGGGAGGAGAACCCCCTGCTGCCTTCGGGAGGCCAGCAGGGGTGCGGTGGCGCTAGGGGGGGCAGTGACGACGTAGCTGCAGCGGCCTTCCACGGCCGTCAAGGCGGTGGTGCCACAGTACTGCGAAGCGAGAGAGGCCAATCAGTGTCCATTCCATCGCCGGAAGGAGGGCAACAGAACAGAAGCATCACAATGGAGTTTGGTGACGAATACTTTGGGGATGTGAAGGTAGACAGGGGGTCAGTGATTCCACACGGCCGCGGGACGCTTCAATCGCCCTTGGGTAAGCACTGTTACGTGGGGGATTTTGTCAACCGCAGCCGGGATGGGTACGGAAAGTTGGTGACAGAGCGCTATGTGCTTTGGTCAAAGTGGAAGATGAACCGTCCCGACTTGACGAGTTCTGCCCGTATCGACTACGCAAATGGTAATAAGTATTGTGGCTTTTTGTCACTGAGACAGGACAACGCAGCGGCGCAAAATCTTTCTCGCAGCCAGCGGACGCGTTTGTCAAAGTTCTCCATTTGGGCCCAGACGACAACCCCGGTGCGTGAGCGGTGGGGGGAGCTCGTGGGCGCTAACGGCGACCGCTACTTTGGCCAGTGGGAGGAGGATCTGCCGTGTGGCTTCGGCTGCCTCGTGACTGCCAGTGGCGACCGCTACGTAGGCCTGTTTGAGGCGGGTAAGTTCCATGATACGGGGACCTTTTTTTCATTGTCATTCGGCATGTGTAACGCCAGCTCTTCGCTGTTGGACGGAGTGGGCTTTGTGCTGGCGTTTGACCAGACTCAGCAGCTGGTGATTGAGACGCGGGATGAAGAGAGTGAAAAGAGCAAATACCATGGAAAAAAACGGTGGTGTGGTGTGGTGTTTGACGGCGTATGGGAGAAGGGTAAATTTATAGGTGAAGGACATGTGACGTTGCCCTGTGGATCGCGGGTCTCTGCTGAGTGGAAGAGTGCGTCATATGCGACCAATGGTCGCCTGTTCGTCGGTGCTGCCAACGCCCGCACACAGACCGGCATGAATGCGCGTGGATGGTTCCAGTGCTTCCACTGGGAACCGCTCTTGTGTGGTGCCTACGAGGAGTCAAAGGTCCAGGAATACACCTCCTGTGCGTCCTACCGTGATCGGCTTAATAGTGCGTCAACGCAGGAGGAGGTTCAAGCAGTGCTTTCTGACTTCTGTAGCAATCAGGGCTCTGTGAGAAATGCGCTAAAAGTTTTTCGTCGCTGTTTCTATTTTCTTCACGGGACGTGTGGAAAAAGCAATGAGATTGGGTCAGGTCTTGGCTCTAACAAACTCGGATGGTGCTACTTGCGCAACGCGTACGGCGGCTGCATTCACCGCGGCCGTGGCCGCCCCATTTCTGTGGCCGATGTAGACCTGGCTATGACGGACATTATGTCCTTCGTGCGCTCTATGGAGCGGTGGGTGGTGGAGATGCTGGGTGATGCTGCCGTGGCGGACAGCAGCTCCGAGACCTTTGTCGCGCGGCGGATTGTGGACTACGTGATGCGCGACGTACACGATGTCCTGTTCAACCTCTACGTACATGCGTACGGCGATGAGGATGCAGCGCTGTCGCTCTCGCTCGAGCGACTACGCGAACACACAACACTGGACGACCTCGGTGTTGACTTTGCACGACAACAAAGTGTGGAGCGGCTCTTTGACCCGTACGCTGACGCGATTTACAGTATTGAGCAACTTGGGCGGAGGGTGCACACCTTTACTGGCAAACTGCGTGTGCTGGCGCAGTGGTCGAAGGAGATCGACCTCGCCGCCCGTCTGGCGCAAGTGAGTCTCGACGACAGGTCTCTCTCTATACTCCCACGGTCCTGTACGCATATGGAGTCGGGCTCGGCTGATGATCTTCTCCCCATCCATCAGTATGTTCTCATCAAGGCGAAGCTGCGCCACTTGTACGCTCACACCAAACTTTTGGTGGATTTGAGCGGTGAGGATATGCTTATGGAATTTACGTCTAGGGAAAATTTCTTCGTCACCACGCTTCACGCGTGTGCGTCGATGCTGTCTAACTTGCACCCTCTTCTGCGTGACGAGTCCCGGGTGCTGGCGCCGTCTTCTCTTTTTGAAGACCGGCTCCGCTCTGCAGTTAAATCTCTCAAGCGACTAACGAATTGTTTTTTGGACGCATATGTGTCTCATACAGGCGAGGCGTGTGACATAACGGACGCCGATGTGCTGCACGACATCGCAGCAGGGTACCTCAAAGCATGGCTGCCGGAGGCAATCGATGTCCTTTCGGCGCAGGTGACTGCATACCACAGTAAAAGTGGCCTCCCTGTTCCAATTGCCGGATTGCTACAGACCGCAAGAGCGCGCAAGATGGTGCGCCTGGATGAGTGTCAGTGCCCGCGCAGTGTGGCACTCTTCTGTTGGCTTGCGGTGGCCAACGTTGTTTCGGTACTTGACCTGCATCTCGCCATCATGTCGGTGAACAGCGCAGGCGCTCCCGATGACATGCTGCAGGTAGATGTTGACCCCACAGTGTTTGTGGCGGAACACCGCCGCTGGGCTAAATCTAGCGGGGCTGTTGCGTTTTTGGTGCGGCGGGCGCTGCGCCCTTCCATGCTGCACAGCGCCGCCGCCGTCCTGCTGCTCGTGCTGTGAGGTGTGGGCGTATGTGTGTAAAAAGGCAAGTGAGGGACTGTTGACGTCTCGGTTGTTTTGGGACTTCCCTGACGCCTTACTTTGTTGGTTGTTTCCGTAATCTCTCTCTCTCTCTCTGTCTGTGCTTTCTCCTGGTGTGGCTCTCTCGTTGCGTCGCCAAGTGTGAAAGGAGCACAACATCGGCATCCGCTCCGGTGTGAACGCAAACCACCACCACCACCACCACAACAACAGCAACAGATATACACATACTCACACGCACAGCGAGTCATAACCGACACAAACTTGCTCACCCCACATCATATTTTGTTTGATCGTTGTTAAAACAAAGATGTTTCTGAAACTATTCAAAAGAGACAAAAAGGACAAGAAGGAAAAGGGAGATGAACGGACGAACGATAAAATAAGCGATAAGAAAGGCAGCAACAACAACAGCAGCAACAACAACAGTGGCGAAAAGGCAGTGCCTCCACAGGAAAAGGTGACGAAAGATGACTTTGAGAGTTTGGATGTATTAGGGAAAGGCTCCTTTGCGTACGTAGTCCTTGTCCGTCGCGTAGGCACTAACAATTACTACGCCATGAAGGTTGTCAACAAGCAGGGACTCCTCGATCACAACCGCTATCGCGATGTATTTATTGAGCGTAATGTACTAACACGCATCAACCACCCGTACCTGCTGAAACTTTATTGGACCTTCCAGTCGGAGCACAAGCTGTTTTTCGTGATGGACTATATGCCAGGGGGCGACTTAGACAAGTACATGAACTCCATTCCATCAAAGCAGCTCGACCTGTTCACGGCGAAGCTATACGGCGCGGAGATCCTCTTTGCTATATTGTGCCTCCATGAGCACAGCGTGATCTATCGTGACCTGAAGCCTGAGAATATCCTCCTTACGGCGGAGGGGCACTGTGCCCTTGCCGACTTTGGCCTCTCGAAGGACTTCTACAACGAAAAAGAGGGTGCGGAAGCGACAGGCAAAGACATGCGGGCGAACTCCTTTGTGGGCTCCCCCTTTTACGTCGCACCGGATGTACTGAAGCAGAGCGAATATACCAACGCCGTGGACTTTTGGTCATTCGGCATTTTGCTATACCGCATGCTCTGCGGCCGCACCCCGTTCAACGGCAAGAGTATGAAGGAGGTGTTCGATAATATTCTCTACTCAGATCTGCGTTTCCCCAGCAGCGTGCAGCTCCCACCCGAGGCAAAGGACTTGATCAGCCGCCTACTTGTGAAGGACGCCAACCGGCGCATAAAAGGACCGGAGATCAAGGCGCATCCTTTTTGGACAGGGCTCAATTTCGATGAGGTGATGGCGAAGAAGGTGAAGCCTCCGAAGTGGACGCCGATCCCACCTGTAGAGCAAATGATGGCCGAGCGTGCGAGTGCGGCTACCGCTGCTGCCTCCTCCAAGAACCCTGGACAAGTTGTTAATACACCCGCGCAGTCGTCACAACTGAACGCGCGGCAGCAGCAGCTTTTTACGGGGTTTTCATGCACAGCCGATAATCACTTGGGTAGCAACTAGGCTTCTCTTGCTGTACCGATGAGTAGATGAGGAAAACAAACAAAACAAAAAAGGTTGTCGAGAAGGATGAGGGCGATGCGGAGGCAGAAATTAAATCTGTGAAACCACAACAAAGTATCTTTTTTTCCATTTTCTTTTTTCTTCCTTTCCCCTTCTTTGCGCTGTTAGATGATTGCACACAAACGAGGGGAAAGGAATGAGAGAGGAATGCTACCTAGCACCACACGCTGCGGATTACTGGTTAAACTTCATTCTTTGTTTTCTTGTCAACGTTTTTTTCCTTTTTTCTTTTGTTTCAGGGCTCTTCGTTCCAAAAGATGTGAACCTTGAGACTTGCGTTGCCCTAAACGACTGCTCTGCAAGCAGCTGGAAGCGACGAGCCCTCTTTTCTTGCCCCCTCCCCCCTCAGCCTCAATACAATTCCTGCTACTATCAGGGGGCCTTGCCTCGTGGCGCCTGCAGAGACTTCCTGTCGTGCGTACGGCGGGTTCACCCCACCACTGCGCCGCTGCTTCTGCTGCTTCTTGCTTCGCCGAGATGTGTCCCTAACTGTTTTTCTCCTTCCTCCCACTTGTTCTTGTGCCTGAAAAAGAAGCTGAAGGAGAGTAAGGGCACTGCACGTGTTCTGGAACCCTTTTTTCTCTTTTACCATGCCACATCCGGGAAGAGAACCACGATGTAGTGGAGAGACGATGGGCACTGCGTCGGCGGCTCCTGGAGGAAACGGAATGACCGATGGATCACTCTCAAAGGCGGCGTACGAGCGGTTGCGGCGGTATGGTGGACCCTGTGCTGTGGTCGACCCCCTCCTTGCCGTGCTGATGAGACTGCGGCGGCTTGAAGACTCGGTGCTCGACGTGTTGGAGTCCTTTGGGGTGTCGAGTGAGCAGGTGAAGTCTTGTGGCCGTGCTTGCCAGGAGCCACTAGAAAAGATCAGACCGCCATTTGTTGCCAACGACGACGCTTCTTGTGACACCGTAGATCCCGTGGACCGCTACATCGTGGCGCACGCGTCACGGGGCCGGCGTGCCAGTGACGTAACGTGTGACGTCACGCAGGAGGAGCGGGAGGCGTGCAGTTCCGCCATTCTTCGGTGGGTAGATGAGGCTTCTCCGTTAGACGCAACCCCACTCTTAGATTCCTCACGCGCTGAACTGATCACGCGACTCAGTAAAGCAGCGGAAAGTCGTGGTGGGGCGGCCCCACCGCGTGTGAAAAAGCGACGGCGGTCCACCGAGACACCTGGGGGCCGCGAGGGTTTTCTTCACCGGCACTGGGGGCACTATGCAGCGCAGCTCAAATCAGCATATCGGTCGGAGCGTAGTGTTGTGAATGCTGTGTGCGCCACTGACATTGGAAAAAGTCTCTGCTCCCACGCAAAATGGGTGGAAGTGGCGCAGTGCCGTGCCTCTGGTTTTACAACCCCTGCGGCGATGGCTCTCTCGCAGAATTGCAAGGATTTGACACTGGCGAAGGACGCACTGGCGGCGCGCCAGAGGGGGATCGTTGGGCTTCTGTCCTCGCTAGAAGATGCCGTCGACGAGTACACTGAAGAGGCGCGGAACATCGCTGATCGTGAAGAGACTCTCTGGTGCAATGTGAGACTTGCCGAGTGTGAGATCAGGGCTTTGCTGCACCTAGCTCACCGTGTGAAGGGCATTGTTGCTGCGCTGTAGTGTGAATGCGCATCCCTTTGTGTGAACGGGGGGCACAGTGACAGCGAAACCTAATTGTTTTTTTTTTTGTTGGTGACATTTTTCGTGACCTCCGTTGAGTTTGACGGGCTGGTTTGCGGCAACTGGCTGTGCGGTAGCTGCACCCTCCGTTTGTTGTTATTCCTTCTTTTTTTTGTTTCCCCCGTTCTCGTTCGTCTTGATCTCTCGTTGTTCCCCTTCCGCTACACACGAAGGGGGGTGAAAAGGAAAAAAAAGATGGTGAAGACCAACACAAAGAGGGAGGAGGCACGTTCCGCGAGGCTGCAGCAGCTCCCACAGTCCGAGCGACTCGCGAAGAGCGCGATGCTCAAAAAGCGGGAGGGGCGGGTCCTCAACGCCTCGGAGAAGCATGCCATGAAGATGTCCTCTGAGTACGGTGAGATCATCCGCCTGTGGGAGGTGCTGCGTGTGTCCACCGATCCCGCACGGGATGACGCTGCAGCAAAGAGCCTGGAAGAGCGCAAGATGGATCGCTACGAGTATAAATACCCCACGGTGGATCGCTTGATGAAACTTATTGAGCCGAAGTTTGCCACATACGCAAAGACACCCCGCGTCAGTCGTGTTATACAGTCGATGATCAAATACGCATCCGTAAGTCAACTCGAGCATATACTCAAGCTTGTGTCGGAGGATTTTGCTGCTCACGCAACTGATGCATATGGCCATTTTGTTGTGGTTGCGTTGATTCGTCACGCACCGCATAGCTTGCTGGACAAGATCTTTTCTCAAATGATTCCCACAGTGCCGTCATTGGTGTCGCATAGGTTTGGCATTGAGGTGCTCCACGCGGCTTACAGCAACCGCCTCTGTACAGCGACGAACCGTCACCTTCTCATACTGGCGGTTCTGAAGGACAGTGTTGCCGTGATGAAGCGGTGGAAGGGGTACCCTGTTTTGGAGGAGGTCCTTCAGCATGAGACGGCACAGCGGAAGCGTCTTCTTGTGCGACTCTTTGAGTTGTGCGATAAACTTGTCTCTCAGAAGGGTGCTGTGTCGTTCCCGTTTGTGCAGAGGCTGGTCGCAGCGTATATGAATAACGGGACAAAGGATGAGGTGAGTGAGCTGTGTGATACTCTCCGACCACATCTGGCGACGTTGTGTACCACTCGTGAGGGTGCCCCGTTGGTGTCACTTACCTTCTCCCTCACGGAGCCAAAGAAACGCAAGGAGGTGCTGCGGGCCTTCTCGGATAACCTTGGCAGCCTTGCAGTTGGAAAGTACAGCGCGCCTGTCATTGCGCGTCTCTTCGATCTCGTATACGATGTGCAGCTTCTGCGCAAGTACATTGTGAATGACGTTGAAGCACACATCACACAGCTCATTAACAGCCCTTTTGGCCACCAAATACTCCTGCACCTCCTCTCGCCACATGCGGAGCGTAAGGCCAAGTTCCTTCTTCCCAACTGGTTCCAGCACAACCTGTTTTCTCTGGAGAACGACCGGTGGAACCTCCACACATGGCTCACGCACGAGTACGTGGAGGAGACGGTAGAGATATGCTCCAAGAGTGCCCTCAACACACACCTCGCCGTGCTGCCTTCTATCGTAAGGCGTTTCATCGAGGTCGCCGGCGATTCCACAGCGGTGGTGAAGTTGAACAAGCACTTCACCGGCCTTATTGCGAGAGAGGTGCTAACCGTCGATGAGACGGAGGCGGCGTATAGGAAGGCACTCCAGCTCTCAGAGGCCGACAAACAGCTGCTCGCACGTCTGGCACCTTGTAAGGAAAATAAGCGGCCCCGTAGCGAGGATGCGGATCCTCCAGCGAGCGCAGCACCGCACCAGAAAACAAAGGCACGAAAAATCGACAGGAGCTCTGCATCCGGGGCGCTGAAGTGCGGTGGAGAGTCTAATCACTCGGGTACAGGCACAGTTCCAAGGAAGAAGGACAAAGTTGTCACGAAGAAGGGAGGTAAGACCAATGAAGGCAAGGTGAAGGCAGTGCGTACGAAATAACGGTGGGTTTTTATGATGCGCCGCCATAAAGAATGATGGTAAGTTCATACACATACGCACACACACACACACACACA